CAGTGATGCAAAATAGAGAATTTTTCTAATGCTCCAAAGATATTTACTTTAAATAAGTCACACACACATACAAAGTCCATTTGGTTTAAATATCCTGAGCTTTTTCCAGCTACCAGACCACTCCAGTGCACGGAAGATGAAGTAATTGGTAGGATTATTAATGTTTCTTTGTTTTCCATATGACCATTTCGTACAAGTCGAAGGAACAGGCCAACAATAGCACAGCCTGTGCTATGCTTGTCAGTAATATGACTGCCAATTAATCCTGACATGGGAGCTTGGCGGGTTACCCAAAACCCGGTATTTTATCACCTCAGGGGGTTAGCACTTGGACATTTCTGTAACATTTTATACTAATCAATCAACTTTCCTTTTTTAAAGCAGAGCCTTTCATAGGAACCATGGATGCGTCCTATATTCTCCACATCCAAAGCCACCTAGTTCCCCAAACAGAACTGCGTTTGGTTTGTTGATAATTACACTTCAGAGCAGACTTTCGAAAATGTTTATTCGTGTTTCTTCCCTTCCAAGGGGGAAATCTATCTCAAATGTTAAGACTGAAACTCAAGTCCCCAAGAGTTTTCTCATATTATTGTATATTTTAAAATATTACAAGAGGGCGCTTCTCAAGGGAAGTGAACTTTAGAGCTGCCAAAGATAGTTGACTTTCTCTGAATCTGTTACCAATGGATCCCAAGCTGGTTAAAGTCAGTTCTATTCTGAGTAATGACACATGTGGCTGGGACAAACGCCATTCTAAGATATTTCTAGGACCCCCCTCCCTCCTCTCCAGCAAATGGTAATTCATCTGGAGACGGCCATGCAGGCAGAGGAGGGTCAGATGGGGAGAATGAGTCTCCTGGGAGCCCTCCGCCCAGGCAAGAATCCTAAATCAGCTGGAGGGACCATGTTCTCGGGATGAAGGCCCTTCACTCATCACTCTCTCATTCCCCCGATCCTCTAGCCGCAGATGATCCTTTCAACCATTCTTCATAGAGGTCACCCTAGAAAATCAGCAGCTGTAAAAATGTTACTGGCAAACTTTCAGTCCTTCCCCTATACTGTCTCCTGGAATTGAGGCATGAAGAAAGAAACCCAGTCTGAAGTCAGAACTTTGCCTCTGTCCCCCTTATTTGCATTAGTGAACCTCAGGAGGAACGAGGACATGCGGCTCTCTTAAAACCAGCTTCTCCTTTCTTATTCTTTCCTTCTTCCCTGCTGTCTGTTCTTCATCCAGAGAAAGAATCCCAGTTGTCCAAGGGTCATGGAGCAAGGCAAAAGTGCCTTGACCTCAAAGTTAGAAATCTTGGTCTGCTAGAGAATTACTGTGTGATCCTGGATATGTCACAAACCTCTGCCTCAGTTGCTCCATGTGTAAAAGGCAAGGATGTCTGCCACACCTGACTCACGGGGCTGCTGTGAGGAGTACAGAGGACAAAGCACACAGAAGGTTTTGAAAAATAAAATAAACTACACACCTGTTAGTGTAACCTCCCACCAATGTCCCTAGCACACACCCAACACCCGCCCCCAAGGAAGCACAGCACCACCTTCCATCTGTTATAAAGGGACTAAGTGGCCACTGACTTGGGATCAGACAGCAAATTGCATGTGACATTCATAAAGCGCCATTCTGGAACATTCACTCTGCTCCACTGAATCCTAACTCCAGCAGCTAAGCCATATATGTGCTTTGTAGATGAGGAAGCTGAGGCTTAGAGAGGTTAGCACGCTTTCAGAGGCTACCATACTGGTGAGGACAAGAGCAGGGTCTGAAACAGACTTGGCTGCCTCCCCTGCCCTCATCCCTTATTCCCTGCCTCATTTATGCAAAAAGGGGCTCATGCAGGTCATCATTTTAGAAGTCAAAGTGAGGTTCCTTGGAACCCTAAAGGCTCCCTGGGAGTGAAATGCTGCTTAGCTACAGGATATGTGGGGACAGTGCATATTACAGGGAAGAGAGGTATGGTTAGAGCCACCCTTTGTTCCTCGACAGCCCCAAGTCTTCATGTCCCCCTCTCCCAAGGAGTTAAACAGCAGCCCAGAGATAAACATCACGCTTTACTTTTTGTTCTGTTTTTGTTTTGAGACAGAGTCTTGCTCTGTCACCCAGGCTAGAGTGCAGCGGCATGATCACGGCTCACTGCAACCTCCGCCTCCAGGGTTCAAGGGATTCTCTTGCCTCAGCCTCCCTAGTAGCTGGGATTACAGGCGTGCACCACCATGCCCAGCTAATTTTTGTATTTTTAGTAGAGACAGGATTTTACCATGTTGGCCAGGCAGTCACAAACTCCTAATTTTACTTTTGTCCTTCTGTTTAGAAAGCAGAGTTCCGGCCGGGCGCGGTGGCTCAAGCCTGTAATCCCAGCACTTTGGGAGGCCGAGACGGGCGGATCACTAGGTCAGGAGATCGAGACCATCCTGGCGAACACGGTGAAACCCCGTCTCTACTAAAAAATACAAAAAACTAGCCGGGCGAGGTCCCAGCTACTCGGGAGGCTGAGGCAGGAGAATGGCGTAAACCCGGGGGGCGGAGCTTGCAGTGAGCTGAGATCCGGCCACTGCACTCCAGCCCGGGCGACAGAGCCAGACTCCGTCTCAAAAAAAAAAAAAAAAAAAAAAGAAAGCAGAGTTCCTATCACTAACAGGAAAGGAAAGGCATGGTTTCTGGGGAATAGAGCTCCTGTGTTCCCTGATGTTGCTGGGACAACCCTGAGGCAGTACAGATCCTCCTTGCAGGGAAAGGTGTCTGGACAGATCTGTGTTAGGGGCAAAACCTTGGCTATCTATGTGGCCAAGCCATGTACTGCACTGTACCACAGGGAGCTCAAGTTAGGAGCTAGGATTTGGGCAGTGGGGTAGGGGCGGGCGGTGTGGAAGAGAACACCTCCTAGGGCTGACAGACCCCTCTCCTCTCATGTGGGAAACTCCAATTTCATGGAGTTTCCAGTGATGGCTATTCTGAGATGTTGCCTTTTAACTTCCAAAAATGTGGACAAGTTGCATCTCGCCCGGTATTCTAAGTTTACTGACAAGGCAACTTTTGTTTTTGAATGCCTGTCTCCACAAAGTTTCTAAAACAGAGAAGGGACTTAATAAACACTGAACACTGTGTTTATTAAGTTCAGGCTGAACACTGAACGCTGCCTCTGCAGTCACCCTCTGTGCACTGAGACATGTGCAGAAAAGAAGCTGGTTTTGTGGTAGCCAGAACTTGCTTTTTCTTTCCAGAAACCACCACTGGCTTCCTATGATCACCTTATGATAACAGGACCCTGCCCCTCACCTGGCCACTTGTCTTTACTGACACCAGAATCTGAATGGGCCCAAGTAGCTTGGAAAGCTGACCTAGGAGGAAGCAGGGTACAGAGCACCCGCTGGAGATGGAGAAGAGACCCTGTTCCCTGCCTGGCCCTAGGCCTGCCTTCGACTCGCTGGAGGACTCTGAACACATCACTTCCCTGCTCTGAAACTCAGGGCCTCGCTGCAGGATGGAGCAATGCCATGCCATAGTATTTCCCAGAGCTCCTCCTGGCTCTGGCTTTCTCTGCACAGTGCTTTGGAGAGAGTACCTGCCCAGGAAATGCTTTAGAAGTATGAAGCACATCTGGTTGACCTTGGGCTGTGCCATTTCCTTATCGGCCTCTCCTTAGTGTTTTGTGTGTGTGAGTGTCTCTGAGACTGTGTGTCTGAGGTGGAGAACCAGGAGGACAAAGGACACACAAGCTCAGATGAATGGCACGGAGGACATCCAAGATGAAGAGGGGTCTTAAGATACCAAGGAAATCAAAACCAGCTTCCGACACTTTCTAGGGAATTAAGTGGGTTGTAGGTCAAGGTGATATTTGGTGAAAGAAGGCATCTTGTGAGAATTCTAGTCAGGCTGACCCTTGATGGGGGCTGGGGGCCTCCATGTGCTCCAGTGATGAGCATGAGGCGACAGCACAGTGCTTGGCACAAAGGCCACCAAACATCCCCTTCTCTAGCATAGCGGGAGGCAGAAGTCACCATGTGGTCACCACTGCCCTCAAAATACAGGAAAAATCATGGAAAGAATGAGGCTCCTGGGTTCCCAGTGCTGGCTCTGTGATGCATTAGCTCTGCAGACTTGAGCAAGAGTGATCCTTCTCTGATCCCCTGTGTCCTCAAACCAAAGAAGCTACAATACTATAGTGATAGCATCTCTCCGGCAGTCGTCACTCAAAGGGGTAAAGAATGTGAGGGTACCCTGTGAACACACAAATAAGAAATGTCTTGCCAAATAGCTGAGTACTCATTACTATGAAAAATCAATAAAAAGGCAGGATAAAGACTCTGCTTTTGACTGAAGACAGGAAATCACCACTTCTATCTTGCTGTGGTTCTGCCCTCGCAGACCTGGATTAACCCCAAAGAATGTTCTTGACCGTTCTCACTGGACTGTGTCCACATGCGGGAGTTTGCAGGGCAGCTTGTGCCTCCTCGCGGCTCCTCCTACTGCCAAAGAGCACTTGTTTTTGCTTCGGAAGAACCAACCCATCAAGCGCTCTGCATGGGAGTTAACCAGCAACACTGTCTCTGGTTTACCTTTAGAGACAGTTAAATACTCCATGCCATGTGGTGATGTCAAACTCAAGAGCTCCTTTCATTTTATTATGCTGCTGCTTTGCAGAGAACACAGAATCAGCATAATAAATATGTAACAAGCCAACTTGACAACCCCACGCACAAAAACTTCAGAGACGCATCTCCCCAGAGCGCTCGTTTTATAGGTAAAGAAAGTAGAGCCAGAAACAAGCCACACTCCCAGTAAATGACAGAGTCAGTTCCATAGTCTGACTTTCTCTCCACTATAAGACACATCACAATCTTCACTGGCTGTGTTTAAAATGCAGTTTTAAGACTCAAACCTGAGCACCATTTGTCATCTATCTCTGCATACACTTCGGAAAATGAGTCTGCCCGTGTTTCCCCCACACCAGGAAGGGAGCCCTAACAAGGAATCGGGACGCATTTCTCACCTGTAAATTTGCACACGGTGGCAAAACGTGAGTGGGAATTTCATTCTCAGACCCTGCTGGCCCCAGGGGCTTGTTCTTGATCCGGAAGGCAGTGGTGGTAGTGGCAGTGGTGGTCTGCACTGGGAGGGCTGGCTGCCACACAGTCACATCGGAGCCATTGCCAAAGGCTTGAATTGCATTTTCTGCAGTAAAACAGGAGGAAATCCAATTTCAAAGTCAAGCAGCAAATGTAACAGACAGGATATACACAGCCAGAGAGGCACACTAGAAATTCTGATTATAGCATTGGACTTTTCTGAACAAAACGCATCCATCCATTTGCCCTATACGTACTGAGAGCCAGTCTTTGGAGTCAGGTGTTCAAAAATCAATTCAGTCATGAAACCCTGAGCTGGACACTTAGCTATGCTCAGAATGCAACAAATATTTATTATGTTCCTATTTATGTGCCAGGTGCTGAGCAAGATCCTTGCCCTGAAATATCTATCAGTCAAGCCCTTTGAAACCCAGACTCAGTACCGTTACTTGGGATCATAACTGTCCTATTTTCCAAGAAAATTCTTGTGCTCTCTCAATATTCTATATTAAAAGGAAACTAGTGCTTTTAAAAAAAAATCCTAATCACGAAACTGAGGCAATTCAATGGCATTCCCATTAATATGGCAGGCAAAATGGAACCAGTTTCTTTAAAAAAAAAAAAATCTACCCCAAATCTCATCAATGTCTAGTAAACATTTAAGTAGGATTATTTTTTCCTTTTCTGCTCCAGTCTTCCAAACAAAATCTGCATAATTAGGTAGAAGCAGCCCTGCTTAAATGAAAAGTTTAAAATGTGAAACTTTAAAAGCTTATTACAATTTCATAGGATTAGATTGTTTTTATGGCAAGAGTAAATTGGTTGTGTGTTGTTCCGCTCCCCAAAATGAATAAAAAACAGTTTCTAATCAGGTCTTTGGGGATTTGGCCTGGATTTAGGATTTTTTTTTTTTAAATTTCATATTCATTGTATAAAAAATCAAACTCCTCCATTTGGGACCTGAATGTGCAAATTGTTAATATATGACTCTTAGTTGGCATTTTTCGATATACAAGACAGAATAATTTAAGCCTAATCTTCCTCTTAGAAGTGACATTTTGTTCTAAAATTGTTATCCTTTAAGTTCAGTAAATTGGAAGCTTGTTTTCTGCACCTTTACCTTTTTGGGGGCTGTAAGAAACAGCTTCAAATTAATGTAAATGCTTTTTATGCTCCCAGCTATGTTCCATGGCTTAACTGGTGAGTGTGAGGCAGGGAAAGAGGCGCACAGGGACCAGTTCCCTTAATGCCCAGAAGAACCACCACTGCTACCCTTGCTTTTGCTTAAAACATGGAGATTCAAGAGACTCACAGTTTCTTGCAACTACCTGTGCTTTTCCCAGTGTGTTTGCCTTGCCAAATCAGCGGTTCAGTTGTTTACTTGCTCATTCATTCATTCATTCATTCAAATGTTAACAGAATATCTACTAAGTGCCAGGCACTGAACTATGCATGGGGCACACAGCAGTGAACAACAATAGCAACAAAAGATAAAAGTCCATGCCCTCATGGAGATCACATTCTGATTGTGCAGGCAAATAAGTGAAATATATAATACATTAGGCAGTGAGAAATGCTTGGAGAAAATGAAGCAAGGGAGCACCAGAAGCACTGAGTGGGGAGAGAGAGTTGGTACTTACATAAACGGATCCAGGAAGGCCTTCTGGTGAAGGTGCCATCTGAATAAAGACCTCAGTGAAGGCCACTGATACCTAACCTCAGCTCCATCCCATTTGTCTCTTCCCCATACATCTGTCATGCACATGGCTTAAAAACAACTGTTTCCTCCCCCAGACTAGAAATAAACAATTGGCTAGAGTTGTGTTCATGACAGGAAAATCTGGGAGAGGTTAGGCTTAATCTGAAGGGAGTGGAATTAAGTTTCTACATTTGGGCTGGAATCTACAAACTGCAATTCCTTCTAGTTGCAAGAGATTGAACTGATGGCCCTGTGTCTTTGGGGCTCTGTGCCCCATCTAGTCACAGTGGAAATGGAATGACTGTGGAAAATTCTGGCTGTCTTTGGCCCCTGATGCAGACAAAATGCATTTATTTTTATTGAAAAGTCATTAACAATGAGATATCAGACTATTCTCTCCTTCGTCAAAAAGGTTATACAGCAGGAAAAACTTTAATTTCCCTGTGAGGGAGAAGTTTTCCAGCCAGCGTGAGCAAAATCTTTTCCTACACTGACCTCCATTGTCATTGCTTTATCTTCGTTAAAACTTGCATTCTGCCAGAAGACTGTGGGATGTGAAAGAGGAAATACACACACACACACACATTTTCGGTCAAGACCAAACAAGAGGTCCAAGTTGTGATTCCTTGGTATGCCCCAATGTCGTAGTGAAGGTTTCCTTACTTGACACTTGACACTACTTTTGTGGGTGTGAATTTCACTTAAGAATCCAAAAGCTTGTTTTATTTTTAAGAGGACCAAAGCAATTGACTACAGCCACATTATTTGAAGTGCCTAGTAAGCAAATGACTTTCAACAAAGTAAATGATGAGGAAGTTTTAGAGTAACACTCAAAAGCTTTTTGTGTGTGTGTGTGTGTGTGCGCATAGTAAATTATAGCTACCAACCAAGCATCATGGAGAAACTGTCACTTGAAGACAGGGCTCTCAGAGGGGTGGGTGGCTGAGCCTTGATTCCTATAAACTTAGTCCACCCCTCCCACCAGGAAGTCAGACTGACCTGGTTCCTGAAGTTCAGGCCTATGTTCTCATCCAACAGGCTCTTCAACATTGGGGTGAACAAAGCTCTTAGGACACAGGGGACTGCAAAAGGAATCGCACTTTGGATCCTAACTGTGGCATACATGGCCTATGTGAATTACCAGGCTGTACTCAGCTGTATGGCAGGAGAAAACCACCTATGTCTGTGAGAACTCTTGTGCAGATTACAGTAAATGAGAATGTATATTTTACGCTCGCTATAGAGTGCGTTTGAACACGCAGAAGATACCCAATAAATGGTAACTGCCACAGAGTGGGTGGAAATTTTCAAGTATCTCAGCTGGATCGTCATCTAGGGCATGCACATCTGGGTGGATATATGTGAGTCCTGGCACTGTGCTTTTGGAGTTTGATGAATGCCCATTGTTCGCATCCGACCATTTCTCTCTATCCCTGTCCCTTTGGGAAACATGTTTCCAAACTGCCTAAAGGACATTGCAATAAGAACTGATTCTGCTTTCAAGCAGGAGCCCCCTCCCTCCTCCCCAGTGCTTATCTCGCCTCCAGAGATAACGGGCATCCCGAGCCTCCTGCCTGCATCGCCAGTTTATCCTACTCAAGAATTGTTGCTTCTCCTCTGAGCCAGCCCTGAGCATCCAAGGGGCTATTGATGTTAACATTCTAATTTTTCTCAGAGTCCTTGGAGGCCTATCCCCATCTAATTTGTCTGAGCTTCTCACATTGTATATTCCGCCCAGGTTTCAAGAACCTTTGGAACAGACTCTCCGCAGGCTGCCAAGATCAAAATTTGATCTGCGGGTAGAAGCGTTCTTTCCCACATAATGTACCCTCAGTTATTTGAATCTCTTGCTCTCTCAGGCCTTTGGATTCACAGTCTTAGAGGCACCCAGTTCATCACTTGCTGGGTTCCCTGCTGCATGACACGGGGTGGCCACAAAAGGAGCTGGATTTACCATCAGTGACTAAGAGGAAAGAGAGAGAGACAGACAGAGAGAGGAAGCAGGCACAAGAAAAAAGAGGTACAGGGACAAGGGACAGGGTACAAGAGGTACAGCTGGAGCTCGGAGAAGAAAGCGCGTTTCCTCGTTTGTTTCTTATTTTTTACAAACTCACTAAGACATGTATTGTCCTTGAAGAAATTCAAAAATTTCATGCACTCTTCTAGGTCGTTCCCACTGTTGCTGCAGTCACACCATGGGGCCACACTGAGGCTACTGGAGTCTATGTAGTTAGGGGTCATGACTGTGCCTAAAAGAATAAAAACAAGGCAATTTATTGTTGTACCATGATACTTTTTCCAGAGCCTAAAAAGAAACCAATAATCCTCTGACGGCGGATGCACCGTGGATAATTACAAACATTGTGTTTGCTGAGTGGGAAATTATGTTAAGCAGTGCATTTTCTTGGCAATTTATCTTGAGCACATAAAATAATTTACACATTTACTTTAAAAATTATAACAGAACTCCTTGAGCTGTACTTAGGGTATTCTTTTGTGCACAAATGGTATGGATGCTGTGGAGTAGGAAAGAATTAACTTAGAGAATGCATGAGTTGCCAAATCCCTTGCATTTTCTTGAAAATGTCATTAATCTTCATAAATAGATACAGCTGGTTTACATATCTTAAACAATTCTGTTTAGGACTTTGAGTCCACTTCTCCCAGAAGCAAATGGTTTCTTTGGAGTGACATAGGGAAGCTAGAAGCTTCCTAGTGGTTATCCCGCACCCTGAATGTATATACGTATATATGGGGTCTTCTCAACTGATCTAAACAAAGTCTTCCACATTGTGAAAAAAACTGGAAACAAACAATGGAAATTCTCTAAGCCAAGGGCCCCTAGAGTCTTGCCTGTGGACTCTCAATGGTGCTAACAGAAATGCTGGGTGGTCCCTCCTGCCTACATCTTGTCATGATATTTCTGATGAGTTCTACACTGGCGCAAACACACAAAGCATTTATACTTAATCCAAACCAACTGTCTTCTCCTGGGTGGCTGACACCAGGCAATGCCCACTGATGACAAGAAGGCTTTTGTTTTCATATATTTTCTGGATGTAAGAAGTAATAGGTGGTCAATAGTCCGCAGGGTGTATTTGGATCACAAACAGAAAAATAAGTTTGTTCTAAACTTCTCTGAGTAAAGGGCATACTGTCTTTGCCCTATATTCTTTACTGACTTAAACCGCATGATACCTTGGGATGAACATTTTAACCTACTGCATACAGGGAACTCCTAACTTTGATTGAGAAAGGAACTGGTACCCTAAACACTAGGGGAGGAGGTTAAGGCCATTGGATATGCCTGGTGCCACGGTGGACCCCTGGCATATATGGAAGAAGTAGGAATAAGCCTTGTACAGAAAGAAGTTGGAGAAAGAGATCCAGACCCAAGAGAAAAAGACATTTTGGTCTATGCAATGCATTGCCTCTGCCATTGGGCCCTCCATTCACCATCCTTAGGTGTGTAAGGGTTTGCCAAGTCTAGGAATAACTTCACGGAAATGCTGGCAGTACCTGGCCTTGGCCCCTCCTAAAGGGGTTAAGGAGCAGGTACATCTGGGAAGGGCACTGACTGAAGTGTTAACAGGGACTACATCCATTGACTTAGAGGAGCTTGGAAAAAAATTGCTTTTCTTTTTGAACCAAATATACCCTGCGGATTACCGACCACTTATTACATCTTATATCCATAAGATGTAGACACTGTTAGCAGATGCAGCTAGAGTTGAGTTGGAGATACTCAACATTTTCTTCTGTGGGCTTCTCTGTATTTTAAAAACACTTTTTACAATGAGAATGCTTTGACTACTTTTGTTATTTCTGCAATTCCATAGTTGGTAAGTAATCCCTAGTAGAGATTAACTTACTCAGGAAAAGGAGAGAGTGAATGCAAGTTTGGAGTATTGGCTTAAGGAAGGTACACTCATTGGTCCAATCAATAAAAATAGAAAATACCTGGGAATCTGGGGAAAGCTATTACCCACAGCAGGGCAGGTATCCTTCCAAAAAGTTGGGAGTAAAGAGTGTACCAGGAACCTGTCCTATCCCTGCATTAAGTACTGTTGTTGATTTTCCCAAAGCTGCCTCCTGAAGATGCTCTGGTGACAAAGAATGTAGTCTGTGCTGTCATTCTCAGGGTAGGTTCTTCCTGCTGGTGACGTGTGTGACCCTGACACAGACAGCCGGCAGGAACACACACCCTGGCTGAGCCATTGTGCTTCTGACAACTGTGATTTTCCTCACCCTTCCATAGCCTTCACTTTGTGTTCCTTCTCAAATGCCAGTTGAGATGAGCCCTGCCACCAAGGCTTCTGCTGTCCCTGGTACCTGGGACACCTGCCTTTCCCCCTGACAGCCCTGGTATCCAAGTTTGCTTCCCTTCTGTCTCTCACGGTGGTCATGTGTAACCACACTGCTCGGAATGCTGAGAACATGGTTCTTCTAAAGCCTTGGGTCTTGAAAGACAGAAAATACTGTTTCTGCTATGTCTGTTTTCAGGAAAAAAAATTTAGCCTAAATCACCCTCTGTGCACTGGGAGTTGAATTACCAAGAACATTAACAGCAAGCAGGGCCCCTGTATTTAGGGTTTTTATTTCCAAAGGGCTGTTTCTGGGAAACAGCCTTTTTGATTTCCCCACCCTGAATGACTTCTCTTTCTCCAAAGTTCCCTAATTCAATTAACTTTGTTTGACTCACTTTCTTCTTCCATAACCAAGTGCTTTTTTCTCTGCTTTTGTTCTGCGTGGTCAGTTTCCCAACTGAGACGCCTCGCCCATCTAAGCACTCATAGCCTCCCCACTCCTTAATAATCCCCGCTTCCGGCCTCTGCCTTTCGCGCATCCATTATCTCATTTTTTTCTTTTCCTCTTCCTTTTTTTTTTTTTTCTTTCCAGGCATGTCCTCAAGGATTTAACAGCCAAACCCCAGCCCAGAGGTTACTGTGAGATTTTCACTTCTGCAGACATCAGCAGGGTGCAATGGAAAGAACACAGGTATTTGCAAACCACACTCTTCTCCCATCCTGCTTCTCCCGGATCTTACCAATAAGCCCCGAGTAGGCGAGGAGGCAGTCAGCGTAGTTTTCCTTTAGACAGCTGCTGACAGACCTTGACTCTGGCTGGCAGTTGGTAAAAAAATCCGCAAGGCGAGATCTACAATAGGAAAAAAAGGGTGGGGGGGTGGAAATGTGCTTTAAAACATCCTAAGCCTCTGGACAGACATGTTCTCTTTATTCCTTTGTTGATAGGCCTTTCTCTGCACACGTGCACACACACATACACACAAAATACATAGAAAACGTGAGCTAAGAAACTGTTGGCATCCTTTCTCATTCAACCACCTAATGTCCCTTTCCCCAGCCCTCGCTCACCTGTGTGTCTCTGTTTATTCAGATAGAAGTCTTCAGGGCCTATAACTGGAGGAATCTAGAGGCTTTGAAGTTTCCATTCAATATTTATTTCTGACTAGACTTATTTGCATCTTTAGGAAATATGCTGCTTCACACACTCACCGGAGATCCACACTGGGAAAATATTTACTTTATACAGAAACATGTCCCTGGCGTCAAAATAGGATCCTACAGCCCATCTGCTCCTCTAATTCCTACTGGCTTTAAGAATGTGTGTTTCTGTCTTGTAAGTCACCTCTCATCCACCAGCCCAGGGGTAGTGATTTATTCCAGCCGAGTGGCACTGAGGAGGAGCCTGCCTTTGGGGAACAGAAGGGGAAGGAAAGAGGGACAGAGAGGCTTGCTCTGGGCGGGTGGGCCTGTGGTCAAGGCTGTGCCTGGAGAGGCCGCTGCAAGATGCAACAGCTGCCTGCACGTTGGAATCTCTCCAGGGGCCGGCGCAGTCCGCACAGAAGCCCTGGGTGGCAGTGAAGATGCAGCGGCCCAGAAGGCGACAGAAGCCGCAGACACGCTAGCCTGGGGAGAAGAGGGCTCTTTGTGGCCAACTGGATGTTTTTCAGTCTGAAGAGGATATTGTTGGAGAAATCCTGAATGAGAGCTGGGCCACCTCTGAGGTCATCTCTGCAGACAACTGCTCTGTTTCTATGGAAGAACACAATGGACTTCACAAGAATTTAAATTATCTGGCAATTACAGGAGACAATGGGAGGTTGTCTCAGTTTTCTTCTGTCTTTAGTTCACCCCAGAATTGGATGTCGACACACCCAGAGCTGTTTTACTTCTTTCCACCTAAGAGGCTGTGTTTTCTTGGCACGCTGTGTATGACATAAACAAGCTTGGTTGGGTGGAACCAAGACGGGTAGGATGTGTAGGGATCACAGAGGTTTCTAAGAGGCCCACAGGAAGCACGTTACACATCCATCTCCTGCAATTTTAACTAGAAAGGGCATTCAAAGACCTGATGAAATTATCCAAGTCCGCAGTATGCTGCAAAGTCATGTTTGTGTGGGGTTCTCTCCTTGAACCCTTGTAAACAAGGCTTGCCCAAGCTTCCCTATCTGAGCCTATCTTCTGTGCTCCCTATGTTCTGGGGGCCTGACTCCATTGCGGTGAATGCCTGGGGCAGATGCTGGAGGTCTGCTTCATTTCCTTTGCACAGCACCTGACACTCCTCAGAGAGCTCCTGTATAAGGCTCCCCAAATGGCCATGTGCTGAAGCTAAGTGCCTTGGCAAAATCCTCCGAATGTAGCTGGGGTGTGCGCATGTGTATGCGCCTGAGTAGCAACCACGGTCCGTGCCTCGCTGGTGTTTCCTGACTTTAATGGAACACACTGAAAGATATAAAACCTGCCTATTTTCTGTAGCCCGGCTAAAGGATTTATTTTTCAGAGGAAATCCCTAAAGATGGCTCAGGCTTACTCAACTGGCTCCAGTGGCATCCAGCTTGGATTGAGTGTTAATTTCAAAAGAATTTTCCTGGTCATGAAAGTTAATGATCTAGTGGCACTGGGTTTCTAACTTTGCAAAGGCCAACTGCAGGTTCAGGCAGCTGGAGCTCCGGTTCTTCACACAACCTGGCTGCTGAACAGCTCTCTGACCTGGCAGTCCCATGCTCCCGGCTTGTCCCCCAGAGATAGACAAAAGGTCGCTCCTTCTCCACATCTCCTGTTTCTCACAGTCTCTCCAGCAGACTATTAACTGAACAACACTGTGATGAGGATTACTGTCCTTCAGTGAGAGACTAATGCCACCAGACTCATTTTGCTTAACAACCTCGGAATTGACTCACAATTGGACTCTGGAATGAAAGGCTAATTGAGTCAGTCTGCTGCAGAAAGCATAGCCCCGATTGGGAGGATAAAACAAAATATACTGCTCTGAGCAGAACTCTGGACAGGCTGCTTTTTGAGAGATCATCGGCACATATCCTGGCCTTATGACACACAGCCAGTGGATGGGAAGAGAGTTTCGATGTAAGGGTGAGCGCATGCGGCACTGTTAAAACACTAACATTTCCACGTTTCATCACATTTGACCACCTCCCCCTGGCAGCTATACTTGGAGACAGGATGCTCACATTATAGGATTCACATGTTACAGATGGAAACACTGAAGTCAGAAGTTTATACAGCGCTATGCTGGGGCCAGCTCATCACTGGTGAACTGGTACAATTTCAGGAATTTTGCAGGTTGGTTAATAACAGTGCAGTGGCAGCTTGAGAGTGGCCATGGTGGGGGGATTTACACCACAGTAACCAGCAAACACTATACATCAGGGCTTTGTGTTGTTCTTGGAGCACCGGTTGTTAAATATTTACTGGCATGACTCTATTTAAGAACCAGTATGATGTTAGTAAATCCCACTGATAATGCATGCATCATGTCTCCAGTTGAGTCCCAGCCCTTCTCAGACAGGCTTCCTCTCCCATCACCAGTCACCCTTGTGCCAAATGAAATAGGGCAACAGCAATTAACCTCCGCTCTTCAGTACTTTCCAAAGAAGGAAAAGAGCTCCACTCCCCCATCCCACTAAAACATCCTTCCTTCCCAACATCTCCTTCTCCTACCATCATAATCCTCTAACATCTCCTAAATTATGCACACAAATAGTCACATGTATTGACACAACAGCTGGATTCCTGTCCATCCCACTGGCTGACGTGTCAAGTGCCAAGATAAAATGATGAAAAAGACCCTGTCCTTGAACTTATATAACCCGCAATGTAGGTGCCAAGAAAAACAAGTAAAAAGACTATTATAATACAGTGATTTGTTCTTGATAAAAGGTAAGAATGAATGGCTGCTAACAAAAAACAAAACCTATCATGAATGAAGTGTTCAGTACATGTTAGGTATATTTTTACAAACTTACTTTTTATGACAGCAAAATAATTGGTATTATTATTTTATTATCCTAATTCTATAGACAAGGAAACCAAGGCTTAGTGAAGTTAGACTAGAATAAAAGAGTGAGTAGCAGAACGAGGATTTAAAGTCATACATTCTGACTCTACCACTTAAGGTTTTACTATTACACAGCTGCAGAAGCTGGTTTCCAAGAGGCTGTGATAATGGGATTGAGACTTAAAGGATGGGTAGAATTGGTTAAAGATCGAGTAGGGTATTCCAGACAGAAGGAAGCAGCAAAGTATAAAGTAATCACATTCATAATAAGACCTGCATAACAACTATGAAGTATTTGTACATGCCAGGTACTGATTTAATGACTTGACATGTATTCATACATTGGATTCTCACAACAACCTTATTAGGTGATACTTCCAATCAAGCCCATTTTACAGATGAGGAAACTGAGGCACAGAACCTTTAAGCAACTCCTTCTAGGTTGTAGAGCTCTGTGATGGAGCTGGAACATGACCACATTCAACCTGATGCCAGAGCCGGAGATCATTCTCAACCGCTGCACTGAATAGATGCATCGCCCAGAACATCACTGGTCACTCACTCAGGATGCCCAGGCCACAAGATACAAATGGGTAGCGATGGGAAAAGATGTTGATGAGGTCTTGAAAGCCTTTGAATGATCTAAGGGTTTAGGTTTTTATCTTAAAAGCAGTAGGAGCCACTGAAGGATTTTAAACCCAGAAGTAACATGATCAGATTTGCACATTAGGGAGACTCTTCGATCTCACCATTGTTAGCAAAGATATGCTTCAGACTCTGTGCCCTCACTGTTCCAGCAGCAATGGGAAGAGCAAGAAAATTGCCAGGAGGGGAAGGGATGGTTCCCTAAGAGACCACAGCCTGAACCAGAGCAAAGAACCGAGGGCCAGAAGAGGAGAAAGAAAGGAGGATGCCCGGAAATGTGGATATCAATAGAATGAAAGTCAAGACTTCAGACCGGAGGGGTGAGAACAGAATCGGGATGAGGACAGTTCAGCAGACAGTGGGGCTCTGATGGGAAAGGTGGGGCCCAGGAAGATAATGAGGCTGGCGGTGGCTGTGTTGAGTTCATGATTCTATGGACAGCCAAGATGCTGACATGTTGTTAGAGCTCTGGCTGCTGCTTCTGTCCAGTCACCAACTGCTGCCTGAGCACCTACTGTATGCACAGCTCCAGTGCCCCAGGACAGCTCCTTTTGCGCACACTTCCCCCTGCCCACCCTGGGTTATGAATCATATTGTAATCAATGTCAATGGCTTCCCTGCCTGGGCTGCTGGAATACAAACAAGAAAGCTTAAATGTCCAGTATGGGATTAACAAAGAAACTCCTCAACTGGATTTCTTCTGGAGACATGAAATCTCCATGACGACAGCAATGATGAGCTCTGATTGTTTTTATCTGAGAAAATGAAAAGGAAATGAATAGGTACTAATGTAGAAATGTATCGCTCTCAGTAAGAGAAAATCTCCCACCCTTAACGAAGAGGAAAAGGCAGACAAAATACCAAGATGACCTTAGGAAATCTGCAGAAACCATGGTTTATGCAGAAAGCATCATATTAAAGGAAGTACACTGCTAACTGGAAATAGAAAAATTATAATGATAATAATATCTAGGAGACTTGTCTCAAACAGCAGATGGTCTTCTGACAACCGGGAGAAAATTATTTACCTACTTTCTCTGTGAAAGTTTTAGGAAAGTAGTATGATAGAAAACAGGTAAAAACATACCAGTAATGCCCAATTTAACTCATCCTGGATTATCATAATCCTTTAAATATTCTTCCAGAATAAATCCCATACTTGGATACAAGCCATGTGGTTGGTGGAATTGAGC